CACGCCACGCCCCACCACGCCCCCGTACGGAGCACACGACGACACCCCCGCCGAATGAACTCGGGTCCAAAAGAAAAGAGTTTGGCGCGTGGATGGGGAAAGGGGTTGGGTCGGGGGCGCCGGGCGTGGGCGCCCCGGCACGAGTTTTCAACCTTATATTGCTCCCCTGCTCGCGCCCCTCTGGCTGACCTCCCCAAACTCTAGCGGCGCCCACACGCCAGGCCGCCACGCCCCGCCACGCCACGCCCCGCCACAACCCCGCCACGCCCCGCCACGCTCCGCCACACCTCGGCGCGCTCGCGGGTTGGCCGCGGACGCAGCGCCGGCACGGCGCCCCGCCGCTGCGGCACGCGGGCCGACCGACGACTTTGGCTTTCATATTCAAATCAGAGCCGCGGTACGAACGAAAACTTTAGCGCGGGGCGCAGCAGAGTGCAAGTGTGCGAGTGAATTGGGTTAAAACGAGACGCCCGCGTGAATCAAAGTGAAAATGCGCGAGTTTTAAGTTGAAGAGTGGAGGAGGAGGAGGTCGTGGTGTTTCATATATGGGTGTTTCGGGAGGGTGCGCCGGAGCCGGACGCGCGCGCGCGGGGCGGACGATCGCTCGCCTGATCCCGTTGGGCGGCAGGGGATCAGTGAGGATCCCGCGCCTCGCGTCCCGCAGCGCACGCCACGCGATTTGAATGAAATGTGGTCGTGTCGCTGCCGGGCTGGGGTTTATTCGGTGTCCTGCCGGGCTTATCGGTACCCAGGGTGGGTCCACGGGGGGCTGGAGGAGGGAGGGAAGGAGGGAGGGAGGGAGTGGGAACACCAGCGCCAGAGGTGCAGGTGACAAGCGCGCCGAGGGGCGGCCACCGCACCGCCCACACCGTGAAGTAGCAGAGGGAGGGGGTTGGAGAAATTCGCGGTCCGCTTATCGACGGGCATGAAAAATAAAGATTTTTTTTTAAGCTAAATTAGCTAATGCATTCGCTAATATGGTCTTAGATTAAAATTGTATCTCTCCTAGCTAATTTTTAGCTAAGCTGAAGAAATGGCAGTGACAGTTGTCTACAAAATAGAGCAACTAGCTGTGAAAGCTAATATGTTAGCTCTTTTAGCTAAGAATTAGCCAGGAGAGTTAATATTCTAATCTAAGGCCATATTAGCAAATGCATTAGCTTCTTTTTTTTCGTGGGCCCCCCGCTGCTGCCGCCTTTAGCCCGCCCCCCGCTGCCGCCGCCTCCAGCTCGAGCTCGGCCCCCGCAGCTGTGCGCGAGCTGCGGCTGCGGCGCGAGATTGAGACAAATGAGGGGACGGAAACGTATCGCTTCTGTCTCGGCGAGCGAAAAATGGAAAGGAGTTTACCCCCCGGCCCCCTTGCGGCCGCTCGCTGCTGAGGGATGGCCCGAACCGCTCATGGACGGCCCCCTACTGCCGCTGACGAGGTGCTGGCCTGGCTGCTGCTCTGCTCCCACTCTAGACGCTCGCCTCTGCGATCGAATACAAACAGCGCCGCAGTCCGTCGCCGCCGCCGCCCCCTTTCGCCTTTGCTTCACGTTGACGGTCGGGTGATTGTGTGTGCGCAGGTGGTGACCATCTTCTCGGCCTCCAACTACTACGAGCTGGGCTCCAACACGGGCGCGTACGTGACGGTGTCCGGGCCGCAGCTCGCGCCGCGCTTCGTGCAGTTCTCGACGGCCATGCCCAACACCAAGCGGCTCACCTTCCGGCAGCGCGTCGGCCTGGTGGAGAGCTCGGCGCTGCGCGAGCTGCGCACCCAGCTCGTCATGCACAAGGAGGCGCTCGTCGAGGACCTGCGCCGCCTCGACACGGACAACTCTGGTGAGTGAAGGGGGATGAAGAGCCCGCCTGAGAGGGACTTTTCTCCAAAAAAAAAGGTTTACACCCTCCGAAAACATCCATCCGCAAAACGGGGAAAAATGGGGGGAAATGTGAAATCGTCAGAAAAAAGTAAAAAAAAAAAAACGATAGAAAGGGGGGAAGATCAAAGAAAATGAAAAGAATTAGACTGATTATTTCACAAATCAAGAAGAGAAGAAAAATTGATGTGCGCTTGAATTTACGGTAAAGGACCACACAGGCCCACCCGCGGGCCAGCCCGCGCCCCCTGCAATCTTGGCGGAGATCTCACCGAGGATCTCGCCGTGGGGGCTGATGTGCACGGCGGAAGCGGCGGGTTGGGGTGGGGGAACTCTTTTAAAAATATTTGCCCTGCTTCGTGTGCTAACGCACGTGGGCCTCGAAACTGTGGACCTTTGTCCGTTCAGTCCTTGGTCGGATGCGGGCAAGGATGCGTGTATCTGTGTCAAAAAAAACTCATGGCAAATATTAGCATTATAGTACTGATTTTTGTTCTGTTGTGCTGTACAAATTCAGCGCCCAGTTTGGGCCGGGCGTGCTACGTGCTACACCTGGGGGTCACGAGGCCGTGCGGCGCGCACAGTGTATCTGCACGCAACATCTCACACCGGGAGGGGTTAGTGGGGAGGGGGGGGGTGGGGGGTTGTTCTCGGTCGCACCACCACCACCTCCACCCAACAGCGAAAGGCAAAAAAAAAAGAGAAAAATATCGGAGGAAACTGGGTCTCTTTCCAGCTGTGGGCGACCGGCGCGCGTCGACTCGCCCCTAGACTTGGAGCTCCCCTTGACGACAGCGGGCCGACCCCTGCCCTGCCCCGCCCCGGCCGGGACACTCCAGGCTCCAGTCGGGGCATAATTATCGGCCCACCGTGCCTCCCTGACCTTTTCCCTCCCCGGCTGGAGCGGGGCTGGAGCGGCTGGAGGACAGACGCGCGCGCTCTTTGAAGAAACAGAGACTGAATAATGGAACAAGTTGAGGGGACGCGCAACAATTTGGCCGTGTCGCCCGCCCCGTCCCGCGTGAGGCGGGGGCGGCCCCGCCGGTTCAAAGGCGGCTTGATTGTTTCCCTCTGGACGACGCGGCAACTTGACGGACGGGCGGACTCGGGGGG